ATTGTGATGAACGTGATGTAAATTATATCATCAAGGACATGTAACTTAATTACTGTTTAAATAACTGGACTTTTCTTACATGCYAAAGAATGTGTGTTGATGAAGATATTTATACAAAGTGATGTGCAGTACCATCTTGATCTAAAAGTGGAAATTTGATTTGCATTGTGTGATCTATTATATCAGGAAAATAAAGCAATAAATTGTAAAAAAAAATTAGATGTTCATGCGACTGGTTCAAAATGATCCCTTTAGGGGGCCTTTCATTTGTTTTCACAGGAGAGTGCATCTTAGAGCTACTCTCTGCYCTTGCCATCCTTAGCCAAACCCTTAGAAATATACCAAAGACAACCATATTATCTGGCATGAAATTTATCTTTAATTCACATTATTAACAATTAATTCATTTAGYTCAACTTCTATCTAAAGCATCCAAATTTGTTTCTTTAATCTAGTGATAAGTAATGAACCCATGAAATTAATCAACATAACTAATGGTGCAGACTAACGTGATCTGATTTGGCACTTGTGACTTGCAGTACTGTATATGGACCATCCAACCATTAAATGTGATATGATTCTGCCTTTTACATTGAGTAGTGAGTAACAAGTCTCACAAATGAAAATCAACTTTTTTACTCCAGGGAGTCCAAGAGCGATTTGGTGACTGGAGCAATGGAGCTGTTTCATGGTTACATTACTAATAACACTGTAAAATCTGCCAGTTATTTTTTCTAAAATCTAATAAAACTAATATTTTTCCTGTCAACAAACATGGGTTTACATAACTATACTATTTTACGTAGTTAATTCTTTTAGGCATAAACTTCATTTAAAACAAATGACTACTTTCCAGTTAGCAATATTTTAAGGATTTCTTCCTTATAATAGCCCATTTGCATTATGGCATAACTTTACTACACCTACCAGAGAGCCTTGCACATTTTCATTGTTATTCAGATTTTTAATCCCCTTGGAGATTAATAAAACAATTGGAACTAATTGCATTACAAAAAGAAAGTTGGCAAAGAATTCTGGTTGTTGTAGTAAATGACGCCATAATGCAAATTGGCTATTGGAAATGGAATCCACTGGAGCATCCAGCACAGTTCAAAATTTGCATCGTAAAACAAATCCAATTATGATGCAAATTAGAGAACTAGTACTGGATCAGGCAGTGGAATCCTCTAGACCTTTAGGTAGAATGTGAGTGATATAAACTTCTTGCCAACTTGCAAGCAACTCTAGTTTTTTCAGGGMGAAAATCATTCTAGGAACACTTAAAAACACACAAAGTATTTAGTGTAAGAGCATTGATTTGGCTTATAGTTCAGAATAAAAATAGATTTCCAGGAAGAATGAATAGTAATAATTATTTTCTCTTGTCCAAGCCATGAACATAATTCWGACAGCAAATTTCATTGAATAAAGTTTTAAAATTTATYTAATGTGCACAAAAATGGATTTTGTTTGGCCTCAATTCTTTGTTTGTCCTTCAATTCAATATTTTGCCCAATGCTTGTTCAGTTATGTGCTAKAAATTAGGCTTACTGCAATTTTAAAATTAACTTAGCAGCATCACAAATACATGTACCTCCCGCCAAGAACTGTCTAGTGCACTTTACAGCGTTAAACCTTATTCAAATTAGGACCTTTGTAAAAAGCTATGTTGCACTACTTAGTAAGTCTGAACAGACATTCATGGCYTCCTTTGTAACTGCAAGTTATTGATACTTTTGATACAAGATTTCTTATGAACTATATATGTTAGTTAAAACTTTATTTAACAAAGTCTATTATTATTGTTCATAGACTGTCCCATTCCTAACTACGTATGAATAATACAGAATAATCTTGAATTAAATTTAACTTGATCCACTGTATCGGTTCTGTAAATAAAAAGAAAGAAAAAAAAAATTAAAAATTTAACAGTACAATTAAGCATACATAAGAGTTTTCGTATCAGTGGAACAGTTATAAGTAACATACAGTTAACATTACTGTAGAGAACCTCAACAGGTAGCAAATATAGAGAGCAATCAGACAACACATTGAATGCACATACAAAATTCCTGTTAGTATTAGTACAGGATGTGTTTAAAAGGAAACTAATAGAATACTTGGGCTACCTGTGTTGTTACAGACTTAATTACTGCACATTGAAAAGGAATAAGAAATAGGATTGTTACCTGTATAGATCCTATCATATCTGATGCCATACTTGATAGCTATTGAAAAACAAACATAATTACATGTAACTTAAAATGCAGAAAACACTAGAACTGCTACAAAGAGCAACAGAYAACTTGCCAGAGAAAACTTAAGCAAATAAATTTTTCTCAWATCAATTTTTTGAAGTGCACTAATGCAAGTATTGTCATGTTTAGTAAAATTKTTGTCATCACTAACTTACCCTTCCTGTTACTCTTGCAACTTCATCTTTAATATTAGAATAATTTGTAGAGCCTGTGCGCCCTGTCAATTTAGAAGGAAGTTATTTTTTAACATTTCAAAAATAGCACAAGTGCTTATGATCATTCATTGTAACTTATGTCATACAAATCTGTACCTCGTGATCTCTCATCTTCAAAAAGATCTGCACTGGAAATACTAGAMGAGCCAGTCATTCTGTCCAATCTTGCCTTGGCTCCATAWGTCTCATCATCTCTTTCTCCAAATAATTGTGAAGATGAAATGGACTTGGCATTGCCAAATTTCTTCAATGACTCATCTATGGGAGCATATAAACAATATTCACAATTATGCCTTGGTTTTCACTAGTGACAGAAGAGCAAGCACAGAAGCAGGCACAAAATATGCCTTATTTCATAGTTTAAACCACCCAATGCAGCGATTGAGCCCTCATTCAACCTCACAAATACCCTGTATAGTACATAAACTGAGTAACAAATACTTTATAGTACATGTAGTGCCCAATGAGGAAGACCACTCAAGTGACACATTTGCCCTTGATCATACAATCATGTAGAAGGTTACAACTTAAAATGACCGTATCTGAACACGTGCATGACATTACCTGAAGCTGGGGCAGGTTCAGTATCTCGTTTAGACCTTGACCTTAAAAAATAAAGAGAGGATAATATTAAAAAACAGAAGGGAAATCTAAATACAGACTGTTGGAATATGGATTTTGAATAAAATTGTTTGTGAAGTTGACAAATACATGTGCATGCATGAATGTACAAGTGTGCATACATTGAAAGAAAAGACTTACCTTTCTTCTCCTGCACTTTTCCATGAYTAAGATGAACTAGACTTCATTTCATCTCTGTTAATAATATTTTTTTATTAATTAGAATTTGCCTTGAATAATAACAAAACCAAGGAACTAGAGTAATTATGCAAAATTTTGGTCAGCATTTAGGTGGAGATTTATTCAAAATTTTGCAGCAGGATTAGTTTGTTTGATTTGCATATTGTTCCCAGTTCAATGAGCTTGAAAACTTTTATTACTAACCTGCTTATGACATCCCAAGAGTTGTCATTGTTACTGCTGAAAGGGCTGTAACTACAGAACAATATCAAATATTAATTATAATCCTGTGATTTTGGTCTGGTTTTCTGGGATAACTCTGATTGTTCTATGTGTATAATTTATAAAGATTAGGGGTGGTTCTTGCTGTAATCATTGCTGGTCTGGTTGACACTATGGTGCCCTGCCATACTAGTGTTTTCTTATTATTTTTATCATTGCTTATTATGACTATATTTTTGTTAACAATATTGTACTTTACCTTGGTGGAGGCTCTGTAAAGTTAGGTTCATCCAAATAACTGTATTTCCAAAAAAAAAAACAGCAATAAGCACAGAAAACTAAGCATGATTCTTTCACACAAACCTCATCTTTATCACTTCCTCATAAGATTTTAAAGAGAATGTGAATTGAAGTTTATTTTCTAACCTGTCAAAGAATCCAGTTTGAGATGACATGCCATACTTGTCCCTGCTTGACATCCTCGAGTCTCTATCTGGTCTTACTTGTTCAACAGTTGCCATGCTTGCAGCAGCAGAATGGCTTCGTCCAGTAGCCTGGGCTTTAGTGACATTCCTGGGACCAAGCCCCATACCAAGTCTTTCAAGCTGTGTTGCTTTTTTAGGATCTGTGTGTTTCATTTTCTCCTCTTCTTTCTTGATGTCAACAGGTTTGTAAGAAAGGTTTGGTGAAAAGAATTCCTMTTCTGCTTCCAATGATTTCTGCTCAGRAACTTTCTCTTTGTTTTTGTCAAATTCTTGTGCCTTTGATTCAATGTCATTGAAGTCTGCCTTCACCTAGAGAAAATAGGAATAGTTGATTGTTACCATAGATACACAAACCCATTGCTAATAAGGGCAAAATAATTTATCATTGAATTAAGTAAAATATATCCGACATACCTTGGTGGCTCCTAGACCTTTCTTTGCACCAAGCTATCAAACAAAACAAGATATAATAGCATTTTAGTATAAAGTACATGTAATTCATGTCACATAATTTGTTTATATAGCAATGGTTTCTCGTCTCCAAGATACTGCATTAAACTAAATATGTTATTGCAAACGATCATCCCAACTGAAAGACTTCATTAGACAGCTCTAACCATTGTATGCACTATAGACCTTGCTGCTAATGCTTGCACAAAAGTAACAAAAGAACAAAAAYTCTTACTCCTTTCTTCTTGTTTGCTGCAGGTTTTCTTGAACCAATTGTGGATACTCTGGCCTCTATTAAAGAATAAATGTATTTTAGTGTCGCAAGTATCAGTGCACATTATGCACAAAGCTCTGGCAATATCATGTTATGATGATACAGCATATTCTACAGCCATGTTTGTCACTATCAGGCAAGATTTAGGCAAGATTTAGTATCAACCTATAATCAGGCATGTCGGAATTATGCGCGGATGCAGACGCGCATAATTGCCCCCTTTCCACATAATATTATTCATATCAATAATCATTAAGTCTTTACCTTGTTTCTTGGGTGGTGATATACTGAGAGCATTTACATCAAGATCCATAGTTTTGTTAACACCATTACCTGAAGAATGGACACTTGATTTTTATGACATTACAAGAAAAACACTATAATAACAACTGAGATGCCTTGAAGCAACCTGAGACGCTGAATGACAGGGTGATTTTCATTGATATTCATGATAAAATTGGTTGTCAAATGGATGTTAAATTTTTCTTTGTAAAGATGATAGTTAACTGACTGAAAGTTTATGTTCTTCCAGTACTGAAACAAAACTTTTGTGACAAAACAACAACATACTTTTGTCAGTGGGGGTATTTCTTCCACTTCCATTTTTAGGTATCTCAATTGCCACAGGRAGTGCAGTGTTTTCCATTTCAGAAAAGAAATCTTTGTCTTTCTCTGGTGTGTTAGGTGTTACTGGMCCATGACTGGGAGTATCAAGAAAGAGCTGAGAAGAAAAAAAAATGCCAAAAAAAAATCAATCTTTATTTTGATAAATAGTAAATAGCTAATGTGACTATGGTATAACATGAATACATACTGTAGTTTGGTGCATACTTATAAGTGATATTCAAGCTCACCTGAGTTCCATACATATTTTGAGCTTTATTTGCTAATGACGCTATCTTTTCTCTGTATAATAAAGCTACACGGCTAAAATGACAAAGCAAACCACTATATAATTACAATGTACTTCCGAATCAATAAATTAATTGATCCTGCTCTGGAAATCCAACTACAGTCACTGATGACCCTATTCTCCTATATAAAATATCAATCACCTTAAAAAATACAGTATTTCATTATGCTATTYGTGTATGAATCATAAAAGAAAGAATATTTAATGTATTTAATACCTTTTATACTTTGCAGTTGTATCTTCAGTGTTCACYCTGTGTTGTTTAAAAAAAGCAGTCTGAAAAAGAATAAATGAATATTTTTAGCACCAAATTGAAAAGGAATTACAAGACATACTTTGCAGATGTAATTAAGGTCACCTACTATGATACAAATATCATATTGCCTATTACATAACAAAACAATATGATTATCATATTTATTAACATTTTTATGCACACTTTTGGCACATTTATATCACTAATAATATATGAATTATCTATATGTACATGTACTTACTTTTAAAACTGATTCAAAAATGATCTTACTTAAAAGAATGCAAAGCAAAATGTATCTTAGAATGAAAAAATTGTACATGTAACTATGGTGATAGCAAATGAGCAGTGGAATGTTTTAAATAAGAAGACRTRAATGTTGAAAGAGCAACAGAATATYCATCTACTGTACAGCTTATTTAAAAGATTCATWTTAAAAACAAACGTGAACCAATAAATCACTTAGGATAAGGAAAGTAATATTTTTAAAATTCTATATTTTATCAGGGAGGTGATTATTACACAAATCCTCCAATGATTTGTTTATTTTCCAAAGTTGAGTTACATTGTCATAATATAACAATGATTCATGGAGTATCACAGATRAAAAGTCTAGGGTTTAATGGCATATAATAATTCCACATCCAACACAATGAAATCAGTTTGTTATGATCTATAAGCTATGATCTTCTTTGTWAATGTAAAATTCTTCACCTTGGCTATTATAAAGTGCAATACAATTTTTYTGTCAATCTTACTTTTTATATGAGCAGAAAATTCTCATCAAATATTCTCAAAGTACCTGCCATATTTGCTAAGCTCCTTCTCCACTCAAGAGGGCTTTCAGCAGATTATTATTATTATTTGATTATTATTTATCAAAATTTTCCTGAAGGAAACTCTACTATACTGTAAAATAAGTCATCATTATTTGAAAAACAACTCTTGTTTTGAATTTACAGATTATTTTGTTGACAATCATMATGAAATGCCATGATATACAGTCCTATTACAGCTGTGCAACTGCTATGTTTATCATTATTATAAGAACAACAACAACAGCAACAACAACAACAAKAAAYATGGCAATGATTTATAAAGAAAAAGAAGACCTTATACAGACTACTAAATGTACAGCACATGTCTATAAATCAGACAGCTAATATCAAATTAATAGCATTATTTRAATGTGTTTTTGATTTCATATGATTTGGTATTTAAAAATAGATATTTAATTTTATTAGATAAAAAATATTTTGAGCTTACTCACATGTTCAATTAAAAGTGAAATAGACATTGCAGAAAAAAATACTCACTGCTTTAGCGTTGCCTCCAACTTGCATGGCTCTTAGTTGAAGCCATGTCCAGTTTGTATCTAACTGAGTAGATCTAAATTAAAATATTAAATTCAATACAACCTGTTACATAGTTCAAGACGTCTCGAAGGGTGAAATTTACTTGTCTTACGTGTTCTTATCGGCGTTTCTTTCTAACGATAATATGAAACAACGAAAGAACAAAGGGATCGTTCAACTTGATAAGGGGATATTTTCTTACCGTATAAAGGACAGATGAACACCTAGAGATCGATGTACAGCAGAGCAATCAATGCAGAGAAAAACTCCATAAGTGATAGAAGCCCACGTCGGATTGTTGTGACCACAGTCGAAACACGTCTATAAATTACGAAAATCAAGAGATTTCAGGCTTTGAACAGGGCCAAGACTTAAAGAGAATGTTATAATAAGTCCTGTGTTACCTTATTCTCTCGTAAATGTGTCAGACGCTTGAATATAGCTGATATATCTTTAGAATTTATCGGAGCATCCGCCATCTTGGTTCTTTTTTCTCTGCCACACGAACCTTGGCTACGTCATCATTATGAAAGTCACGTGATCATACCCYGTGATACCGGAAGTCTTGAGAAAATATATACTAGTTCTGGAATAAATTTAGGATTTAGGTGTCATAGCCAAAATACCCAAAAATATATGAAGGATATGAGGTGAAGGGGTCTCCGTACATCCTATAATGTGAAAAAACAATTTCCTATAACTTATGCTTACAAGAAGCGTTAAACTTATACATCATGTTACTATCTAGCAATCTAGCTACTTTTACGATATCACATTTCGGCCTTCAAATGATCTCCTTCCTGAATGAAATAAATACCAATAAATGTTTTGTATCTTCGCTTGAATATGGCAATTCATTTCACTTCCGCAATTATTTCTCATTTCTGTTTGAAAACGAGGCTTGCGCGCGCGTCAAAAGGGCGGGAAATTGAGAAGTTTCAAAAATGCCAAAATTAACAYAYTAAGTATGTTTCAGATGCTTCACTGAAAATCACAAATCAGCTTGGGCTTGTRGCTTCTCTTGACAAAAAATGGTATTCTTYAAACGTTAATAAGACAGAACAGGARAASAAGAAACAACTGAAGATAAAGGTCGAAAGATGCAAACACAGAATCAGCAAAAACAACACATTAATCAGCCATTTTTCAAGACTTCAACATCGGCCACCTCCTACTTTTTGAATTTTAACAATGGAAATGGCAACAATAGCAGGYCACCTTCTCAAGTTTCTGTTGCTGCTCCKCCTGCACCACAACAACAGCAGCAACATATCAATGTCAGACCACTCAACTCCCAGGGAGATACATTCTTTCGTCCAACAACTCCAGCTCGTCAAATTCAAAGGGATAGAGGTACGGTATAAAGCTTTATGTATGACTGCTGGTATTTCAAATTTTGTCTTTCAAATATTATAAAATGTTATAGAACAAGAGTTATGAGGTGACTTTGACAAATCATGAAGGTTTTTTTAAAAGATGGTACACGATCTGAGCTTTTTTCGTGATMGTTTGCTTTTTCAAATAACAGAGACAGAAAAAGAAAAAACACAGACTCCTGAGAGACTGCAATCTCTTCATTCAAAGCTTCACCATGAGGCAGAAAAAATAAGACGATGGAAAACATCTACAGAAATGGAACTAAAAGAAAAGGTATCATTTTTTTGGTTGCTTCATTAGCTTCAGCCCAAAAAAATTGTTTGATCATCTGTTTTGTGTATGGCTGGAGGTTCAGTTAAAATCTCATTTTTTTACTTTTCAGGAAAGAAAAATCCTTGAAACTTCTCAAACAATAGATGCACAAAAGAAGTCAATCATTGAGCTTCAGGTGAGCTTTACCTTCAAGTTTATTGTTTGCCTATAATTATTATTGTTATAGTGACATTAGGATGATTCTTCTTTGTTAGTTACAAAATGAAAGCCTCAGTTCAAAGCTGCAAGAACAGATAGCAAATCGTGAAGAAGTAGAGCACAAGTATGTTAACAAATATGTATTTTATCAGTGTCATATCAGTATGTTATCAGTGTCATATCAGGGGGGTGTAGGGAGGAAATCAAGAAKAAAAWTGTCAAYCCTCAATGCATTAATTTGAATSGTAAACTGCAATACATCCCTTCCTTTRAACCTTTAATGCCRTACCARKCCTCTCTYATACSATAAGATKAGCTGTCAATCTAATATTGTCACAGAATCCTTGCCACTCGTGATATGTGCAATGCCTTGAAAAACCACATAGCATCTGTAGAAGAGAACTTATGCAAAGGTAAGAAATTTAACAACCTATTATCAGTTAGACTTATCCCATGTTATATACATTTTCAYACATTATATAAATTTTGGTTATAGGAGAGCAAGATCGTAATGAGCTAATGTTTATTGAAAAGCAAAGAATGGAGCAATATCAGGTAAGCTTGGCTATGACACTTTTACTGTTATCTATTATGGTAATCGCCATTTGTCAAGCTTCTTGATATGGAGTGTGGGAGTGGGAACTTTAGAGAAGGGAAGAGAAGGAAGAAGAAGGAAGGAGAAAGGACCGACACTAGATCCCATGCAGATTTGTGTGTTAGTTTGTTGCAATGTCATGTCTTGAAGATGTCACCTCCATATATTTGCATTTATAGGAAATGGTTGAAAAGTTCCAGAAACTAGAAATTGAGCAAAACAACAAGTTCAAAGAAATTGATGCAGAGAGTAAGGACATAACTACTTAGAGAAGCTATGTTTGACTTATTTGAATCCCATTTTGAGTGACGTCTTATTTTCTACAGTGACTGATAAGGAGGACCAGTTCACAAAAATGACAATGGAATCAGAGCAAAAGCTTAATGATGCTACAGAAGAGGTATGGATCATATTTATAGTCATATCATGGCTSTCTGCTTGCCTGCAACTGCTTGCTTGCTGTATGAGTGCANACAAGAGTTATGAGGTGACTTTGACAAATCATGAAGGTTTCATTAAAAGATGGTACACGATCTGAGCTTTTTTCGTGATGGTTTGCTTTTTCAAATAACAGAGACAGAAAAAGAAAAAACACAGACTCCTGAGAGACTGCAATCTCTTCATTCAAAGCTTCACCATGAGGCAGAAAAAATAAGACGATGGAAAACATCTACAGAAATGGAACTAAAAGAAAAGGTATCATTTTTTTTGGTTGCTTCACTAGCTTCAACCCAAAAAATTGTTTGATCATCTGTTTTGTGTATGGCTGGAGGTTCAATAAAATCTCATTTTTTATTTTTCAGGAAAGAAAAATCCTTGAAACTTCTCAAACAATAGATGCACAAAAGAAGTCAATCATTGAGCTTCAGGTGAGCTTTACTTTCAAAAATTTATTGTTTGCCTATAATTGTTATTGATATAGTGACATTAGGATGATTCTTCTTTGTTAGTTACAAAATGAAAGCCTCAGTTCAAAGCTGCAAGAACAGATAGCAAATCGTGAAGAAGTAGAGCACAAGTATGCTAACAAATATGTTCCTTAATTTGTCATCAGTGTCATATCAGGGGGGTGTAGGGAGGAAATCAAGAAKAAAAWTGTCAAYCCTCAATGCATTAATTTGAATSGTAAACTGCAATACATCCCTTCCTTTRAACCTTTAATGCCRTACCARKCCTCTCTYATACSATAAGATKAGCTGTCAATCTAATATTGTCACAGAATCCTTGCCACTCGTGATATGTGCAATGCCTTGAAAAACCACATAGCATCTGTAGAAGAGAACTTATACAAAGGTAAGAAAAACAACCTATTATCAGTTAGACTTATCCCATGTTATATACATTTTCAAACATTATATAAATTTTGGTTATAGGAGAGCAAGATCGTAATGAGCTAATGTTTATTGAAAAGCAAAGAATGGAGCAATATCAGGTAAGCTTGGCTATGACACTTTTACTGTTATCTATTATGGTAATCGCCATTTGTCAAGCTTCTTGATATGGAGTGTGGGAGTGGGAACTTTAGAGAAGGGAAGAGAAGGAAGAAGAAGGAAGGAGAAAGGACCGACACTAGATCCCATGCAGATTTGTGTGTTAGTTTGTTGCAATGTCATGTCTTGAAGATGTCACCTCCATATATTTGCATTTATAGGAAATGGTTGAAAAGTTCCAGAAACTAGAAATTGAGCAAAACAACAAGTTCAAAGAAATTGATGCGGAGAGTAAGGACATAATTACTTATAGAGAAGCTATGGCTGACTTATTTGAATCATATTTTGAGTGACGTCTTATTTTCTACAGTGACTGATAAGGAGGACCAGTTCACAAAAATGACAATGGAATCAGAGCAAAAGCTTAATGATGCTACAGAAGAGGTATGGATCATATTTATAGTCATATCATGGCTSTCTGCTTGCCTGCAACTGCTTGCTTGCTGTATGAGTGCATGCTACTGATCGAGCCAGTTAGTTGTCAATGGGTTGCACCTTGCTTGGGTCCGGGCATTTTGACCACTGCTCATCTGCAGACATTACCGATTAAGGTTTTAAAAAAACTTTCAAAGAGCAGGACAAGAGAAGTTGTGACAGCCTTCTGTTATTCCTGAAGTTCCTGACATTAATTTTAAACATCTTATAGATTGGAAATCTTAAGGAAGAAGTGAAAGAAAATCTCAAGAAAATATCTACTTTAACAAAGGATCTGAGYGAGATGGAAAATGAGCGTGATGACTTGAAGCGCAAAGAAGGTAAAATATGATAATCATGACTCAGTTAAACTAGTCATGTATGCGCTTATGATTTTAAATGTTTGCAGACAATTTAAAGGATCGAATCAGTAAACTTGATAGTGTAATAACATCCCAGAAAGTCAGGGTGGAGAATACAGAAGARCTGCTTGAACATAGTAAGGTAAGAAGAAAACGTACTTTGTAATGATGTTATTTAGGATTCTGAATGACACACATGACTGTCATATATGATAATATTAACAATTTTTCAACAAAAAAGAGTTCAAAGTTCATCACTTCCTTTGCAGAGAGAAACCAAAAAGGCACTTGATGAGGTTGATCATTACAAGAATGAATTGGAGGAATATCAACAACTGGCTTCACAACAGCAGCAACAATATGCATTAATGGAGGAACAACATTCTGATTCTGTCGCTAAACTGAATGAACACATATCAAATCTMCAAGACGACATCAACGATAAGGAGCAAGTGTAGGTCCAACGTATTAAAGTCTMCCCTATTGTTAATTTAGTGTCGATTTCGCAGTTCATCAGCGCCGCAACYTCTATATCTTAAATCTTACCTTGYYTTCAMTGACGAGCTTTTGAATTTGTTATGATATAAAGTTACTATACATTTGAAACRCTTGATCTATTTAGAATTGTTGAGAGCGCAGAAACATTGAAAATAGTGCAAAATGAAAGAGCAAAGTCAGAAAAAAACCTCAGTAAGTATACAGTAGAAACAGACTAATGATCATGATGAAGACGAGAACTAAACTATTTGACAATTCAATGCATTCATATTAAATTTAGTAACTAAATGTTTGTGCCATTACATTAATTAGCTTCGTATTCATTTTGAGTACATCAATTATTATTGTTGAACGCTAAACAAATCAAACTTTTTTTAGATGACATCAAGAAAAAGCAAGAAGTACTAGAAACGTACAATGAAATGCTTAGAAAGGAAAAGGTATATCAGAATTTAACTTTGATATGTTGCTTTTTTTAAAGATAAAGAAAAAAGAGTATTTATAATCTTATTCAGGAAACCTTCAAGGAAAAATCGGAAGATCTTGTAAAACAACTTTCAGTCGTAATAGACGACAAAGAAAGGCTTTCAAACATCGAGATYCAGTTGAAACATAAACAAGTGGAACTAGAGGTAACAATTCACCGTGAAACACCTATACAAGTACAAACAATTTCGGAAAAAAAAATCCGGACTACTCATGATACTCAGTTAATAAATATTGTTGTTATCCAGGGAACTGTTAATAGCTTGATTGACAAACTTCAAGAAACCGAAAAAGAAATTCACGCTCAGAAACTCCAAACAGAACTGCTTCATACAGAAATTTCCGGAAAAGAGGTCAGTAAAGTTGAGTTACTGGCGCAGCATGACCACGTGCGGCCACACCCTCTTCGTTATTTTTTCGTTATTTCTTTTTGGCTTTATCCTAACCCTGCCATGAATATCTCTATTCAGGAAAAAATCGAAGAGCTCAATGAAGCAATCAAGCAATATGGAATTCGCGAGAAAGAATACATCAAAGACAAAAAGGAGATCCAAGGGATACTGAAGAACAACACGTATAGTTTACTCACACATGATTTAATGTCTTTAACGTATTTTTGTTATTAATGATATCTATTAATGTTATCTCTATAAGATCTGCAAATGCAACTCTTCAAAACGATCTTAAGAAATCAAAGGTGAGCGATAMTTTATGTTCGAGGCAATAATGATGACTGAGGTGATTTATTTTATAAAACGTGTCATTTCCCAACCACTCGTGTAGGCCATACAAGGAAAACTTGAGGAAGATAAGAGTATTCTTGAAGAAGAAGTTTCCAATTTAAAGTCTACTCTTGAAGTAAGATAATYCGTGAAAGGTGCCAGTTTATACTTGATAATCAAAATACTATTGTGCAAATTGTTTCTTGCCGATTTTCAGGATAAGGAAGCAGAGTTATTGAAATTGCAAGAAGAAATGGAAGAATTGAATTCAACAAATGATTCACTTAAGTAAGTAGTTTGCTTTCGTCACTCAAACACTGAATCTTATACTTACACCTTCCTTTTCACAGGAAAGATCTTCAAAACCTTAATGACTACATCGAAGAACAACAAAATAAGGCCAACGTCCATATGGAAAAGCAAGACCTTGATGTAAAGAATATCAAACTATAGTTCAATAATGACTGAATTAACGTTTTATTGAGTTACTTCCGCCGTAACTACTAACAARACTCATTATTTTACATTGGAACTAATACCTTCTATTTCTATATTTAGTCTAAGAATTTAAAAAAGTCTCTGGATGACAAAGAAAAACAGGCAAAYTCCCTTGAGAAAAAGGTAAGTTTTCATTAATTCCTCTATATATCTTATACTAATAAATCCACACAGTTATACGGACTTTTTTTGCTTTCAGTCTGAAAATATGCAGACGCAGCTCAGTGCAAAGTCTAAYCAAATCAAGGAACTTCAACAAGAGGTACATATTTCCCATAGGAAAAGAAAGCATATAGGATATTTTACTTTGAAATCACTTTTTTGCACTATTTTGAAATGTGTGCGAAGGTATACCGGCCCAATTACATTTGTATGCTGCTTGAGTTGCTTAGAATTCTTCAGAACTAAAGCTTTTTTTCAGATTAAAAGCTTCAAGAGTAAAGTCACCTCACAGTCAAAACAAGTCGAAAAACTTGAAAAGAAAGTAAGCACGAGAGAATAACGCTACCTCTAGGTCTCTTCCCTATGAAAATTAGAAAGTACAATATGACGAATGAATATGACGAGGCCATTGAATGAATTCTAAAAAAGATGATATATTCTTGGTTTAGCTTAACGAAGTACAAGAGGAAAAAGAAGATAGCAATGAATCAATGATATCATTGAAAGAAAAGGTCTGTTGAGCAGACAATGTCATATTCTTTAGCAACTGACAATGTTATGATGTACTTTTCCTATCATCTTCTTATAACTAGAATGAAAGTTTAATTAAAGAACTGGAACACAGTGAGAAAAAGGCAAAAGAACTTGAAGAAGAGGTATCTAAATTTGCACTTGATACAGTCTTGGCTTTTGACTAAACAAACTATTTTTTTCTCCATTTTACCAAGGCCAAAAAATTAAGAAATGAAACAAGTCGAGCTTCGAAAGAGAAAGATGAAGCGAAAAAACTCTTTGAACAACAAATGGCTGAGCTTTGCTCCACCCTTGAAAAGTACAAGGTATATATGAAGCAGGCTCAATAAAGTCTTTCTGAATTGTGGTRCACAATATATTTTGTTTTGTTGTTCTTTTTAGATTGAAAACGAACGTATTGTTGCGCAGAAAGACAAAGAACTCGAATCAGTGCGCCAAAAGCTCAAAGACGAATCTAGCCAGATTCAAGAAYAGAAGGTCCGTGAGTTAACTGAAAAAATTACGATCCTTCAAAGACAGCTTGAGAGTGCAAGCGATGACAAGGTAAGTCATCTAGGTTACAYACGACTTGACAAAATAGTTGTTGTGATTACTGACTGATAAACCGAATTATCAAATTCAACAGAAAAAGGATGGTACTGCTTTGGAAAAAGAACGAGAGAGCACCAGCACACTGAAGAGATGCATGACAGACGAGAAGGTAGTTTTTTTCACATAAAGCGGATTGTATCTCTGTCAATCCAGTTTTGAAACAAAAGACGATTGATTGCATACTCTTGTTTGTTCCATTTTTTGAAGGAAAACCCACAAAAGTCTGAAACTGTWCTTGTAGGAAAGAAAAAAACAATCAAAGTAACATTAATTAAATGGTCAACATAAAGATGAATGAAATCTGTATTTATCTGATTGTTGCATTTTCACCTTATGATGACTGCGCATAATCGATAATTTTTGTTGTATTGCACGTTCAGAGCTCCCTAAAGCCAGAGACGGATTGGGAATACATCCTTATCATCTTATCATTCACTACTGTCGTTAACAGGTTCCTAAAACACCAGATGTTTCCACTAAAGAGCCAAATAAAGCTCTCCGTACACCTTTGGCCGATTTAAAAAAGACACCACAAAGTTGTTTACCTCCGAGCAGCATAAAAAGCATTCTTAAGCTTCAGTCCAGCGGTCCCAAGAAAAGACGCGTTGTWTTTGCAGAATCGGATGAAGAATTACCATCATCATCCTCTGATGAAGAAATATGTTTGGTCAAAAACAAAAACGATGTATAGTATAATACATGAAAAATGTTATGTTGTAGAATCAGAGAGCACATAAGATTTTTACGGACAGATATTRATTAATGTCAATCTGTTTTTCCTTGAAGAATGAAGAAGCCATTTTAAAAACTACCATGAAGACTGACATTCCTACTCGTGCCGTGAAGCCAAATGTAAGGCAATCTCCTAAGCCAGCTTCATGGAAATGCGAACAGGTAACCAAGACCGTCAACTCAGAGACGTTGAAGAATAAAGTRAAACCTTTAAAGCCTGTCCCGAGAGGAAGACCAGTACAGAAACAGAAAAAAAAGGTTCGATGATGATCTGTAATTATTGATTTTTATGGTAATTCGTAATTCGAATATTTTTGTGACCAGATGAAAGTCAATAAAGATGATACGGAAGAGCTTACAAAATTTAAAGAACTTTTTCCAGAAATTAAGGATGTGAAACATTTATCGGTAAGTAGTTTCTTGATCCGTTGACTTGGTTTGTTTCTCTTGCTGATTTGTAAATATTTATCGTTCACTCCAACTGATATGAATGTATTGTTATTGTGATCTTTTAAGACAAAGACCAATCTATCAAGAAGTCACACAGATAAGAAGAAAACGACTCCCTTTAAACCCAAAATTAAGGAAATCAAGGCATTGGACAAGAAGATGATATCCGATGATATCCTTGGCTGGTTTGAATTTGATGAATAACATGATTTAAAGTTTTATTTTGAAAGTATATTTTTCTTCTCAAGCCATTCACAGATCCATGCAGGACACATTATAACMCTTTAAGACATGTGATTTTATACATAGCCAAAGTAGCAAATGTAGCCGGGYATGTAAGATCTCTAAGATCTTTATTTTGTACCGCTGTATCTCAATTTTTTTCTTTACCTTTTGAGTGTTCAAGTAACCTTATGAAAATAAACTTTAAATCTGAGCGTTTCACTTTTGTGGACATGAGGMTTAAGGGACAGTCTGTCACGGCGTCCTCACGACCTCTTTACATGGAAATCAATTCCATAAGTGTTAACTTCCCCATCTCAACAATACTATACACGTAACGTCCGAAAACTATGAAAAGCAGATCTGCGTTGGCGGGCAGATGCCGTTCGAAAGAGCGGTGATACCTGGCCGGGGTTCATTTAAACAAGATTCATAAATGTTAAAGCAAAAGTGAAGTATCTTTCAAAAAGTCTTCAATGCAACCACCATAATGAASTATGTAAAATAATAGAATAGCAGGTTGTTTYCAGGTAATAGTGAAAATGCAAAAGTGTACGGTACAATCACTGTACAGGTCCCATTTGTACTGGTATTGAATTAACTTGCGGCGATAACAACATCAACTACGTACATGTATGTAGATTTTAGTGTACTGATTACTACTACTACCACGTCAGTAATGAGATGGTAAAGCACCACGGCTCAGAAACCCGTATGGCGTCGCTTTCAAGTTAATCTCGACAAGAAGCACAAAGCTAGAGGATACTTGCTGGAGTTGTTTTACTCTTGGTATTTCATTGCAGTACAACGCGTTGCAATTCTTGCTGAGACTTTATAGTCATCTGTGTGTCCAACTGTTATAGTATTGTTATTTATTTCGTATGTCTTTGATGACAGTTGCTTGGTTACCCTTCTCACCGATCCATAGAAAGTCTCCACTTTTGTTGATTGATGATGGACGATGTATATATATATATATATATGGCTGACTGTAAAAATGTCCACTTTTGAGAAGCTGTGATCACACGTTTTCACAGTGGTAGCATCCTGACTCTGACCTTGATTTAAAAACTTACTGCTCCAATAAAGCATAGTAGGTATTTGATTGACACCAGTCACAAACACTTGACTSATCAATCACGGCATACACACAACCCCGACGTGTTGTCGGGCTTTGATCAGTACTGATTTTCTTGAAGTAAGAAAAGGCGAACAAAGTAAAGAACTATGAAAGACGGAAGATCCAAGTACCTCGTTATTGCGGTTGCTGTAAGCTTATGTCTTGTAGGGATTTCAATCGGAATAGGCTATYTTATTGGACGAGCCGTTAAGACAAAGGAATTCGAAGATGCCCAAAAATCAGAAGTTAAAGGCACAGTGGAAAAAAACGTCGGTTTGCACAAAGAAGCTGTAAATGATGTTTCGACATCGAATTTACGAGAGAATTTAAGGTAAACTTCTCTAACAGATTGTTTGCTTTAAAGAGTCTGGTTATCGGCCAGCTATGTTTATCGATGTTGTTATGATTCAAAAAGCCATAAAGTCTGTCAATTTGCACAAAAATAAGGAGTAGTCATGGCATTTCCATAAAATTGTTATGTCATTTTCCCCTTCTCATCACAATAAGTTTCACTTTTAATCTCTACCTTGGATTGGTTTCGGCACATCACGCACTAAGCAAATACGTTCGCAATTTGCACGGTTGCATTAATTTCCACAAGATATTTAATCTTCTCCCCAACAAATGGAATCATATTGACTGAAAATTAAAATCCGGCAAAAAGGAAACGAAAAACGTTTGATGAGCTATTCAAAATCGCTGGCCGTACTTTAAACACTTAGAGAACAAAAGAAATGTCGAATACATTTCAATAAGCCATCAAGAGTGTCGGGTTCCCTTTCAGTGGTCGCTTTGTCTGGGAGACCCAAAATGACTGATATATACATGTATCGGTATGATATGAGAGAATTCGCGTAATCTCAAGGCATTAATCTTAATTACTCTTGATTTCGTATTTCTGTAATCGATATATCGGGATATATATTATGGCCCTCGTTTGTTACTTGTATATGCACTCGTATTTTTATTCAATTAAACTCCGTGTGTATATTTTTTATGACGACTGATTCTTTTTGATTGTATACAAGCTTGCTGAACTATTTTGAAATTTAATCGCTCACTAATATATACGGATCGTATTATTTTATGAAGTATTGACTAYACTGTGCATTAATTACTTGTAATGCTATACTGCCTATCCTTGAACTTTTGTAAGTGACACTTTTCACCTGGTTTTCAACATTTTAAGGGCTGTTCATATCATAGTTTATTCCACACACTTGATACATAGACTAGACGCTCTGGGAGCGTGAAGTCGGACTAGCTGCTTGTGAAAATTGAGAAAGACAGGATATTACATGTATAAAAATATTTCTTAACTTTTTTTCCAAAACAGCCGAACTCACGGTCTAATAAGAGCGTCTAGTTCAAAATATGCAAAATTTATTGAGACTTTAAATAAACTTGACCTAAAAGGTCATGTAATTAATGCGATAAGAACATGGCTTGCTTTGACTGATAAAATCAACCACGCTCAGACAAATGTCTAAGTGATAAACGTTGACCTCTCAGGCAAAGAAAATAAAAACTTTACAAGGAAAAAGATGCCTATAAAATCATTAAATTCGCCTTTCTGTTATTGATAAACAAAGTTTCTTCTTGTTCTAATTTGAAATCTTTGCCCCCACAAGACTGTCTAACACTAGAAAGGATATTGATTCAGTTTTGTAAGCATACAACTCGAAACTCTATGCGATCTGCACATGCGCGTACTTCTAATGCCTAGACAGACGCATTCCGATGAGATCACAGATACCACATTTGTAAACGAGGGGTTGACGGTCCCAGGGCTGCGAAGAAGTCAGAAATGCAACAGTTTTGTTTTGGATTCACACCGAGCAAACTGTTGGACAATGAGAGAAGGTGTTACACTAAGGCTTATTGATTTGGAATCCCTAGAACCAACCCCTGCAAACAACTCTGATATATGTATGTAGTATTTCAATGATAGCAAAACCATCAGCATAAAAAACTCATTGTGGTCTGATTGAATCTAGTATAGAGGTTTAAAAGTGTACAATTCGATCAAAAAAACAAGACTGRGTTGGTAGACTTGGTAATGCATGCGAATATCGATCGGTATATGTCTATTTCCAAATTCCAGTTTCTCTAGTGTCTTTTTAATTAATTTTTATGCAAGTTCGCATATCATTTTCAGTTTTTGGATCAAATATGTGACTTAAGTCGGAATTCGAAGACTGTCCGGTGGTCATATTTTGACAATTTTTCAAGATCAAAATGAAAAGAATCTTTTAACAAAAATCCCTCAACGGATAGAATAATGAGCTTTGTATGTGGTCTGATTGAGCCTTGTTGAATTCTATCAAGCACTAGGCTGACTGTTTTCTAAGTGTAGAAAAAAAGGTTAAAAGCGTCAATATTTTATTTAAGTGCATTACTTGAACCTTCGGTCCCTCTCAGTCTACTGGTTCTATTAACAATTATTGACACCACTGTGCAGTTAATGGAGGTCAACCAACATTGAAAATTATCTCTGGCATAAATCTTCACAAAACGGTGATGCATTACTAAGAAATATTTTCAGAGCCGTCTTGTTGCTTCACACCMACAATAATAAAGTCCCGAATGCCATATTAAAAGAATATCCAAGAGATAGTGCCATATATGCGTTTTCGTCGTGTACGGTTGAGTACATTCAAAGCAGAACTGAACAATATGAAGGCAATATATGTTGTCATATCATTCGTTATATTATGTCTSGTTGGAGATTTGGTAGGCAGCCACTTTGAGGGTGGTGATCCAAAACTTACCAAAATATTAACCAAGGGCTCGCCTAAGAGAATCATCAAGAAAAAAGAAACGGCTTTATAAGAAAGCAATAGATGAAGTATCGACTTCTCGTTTGCGCGAAAACTTAAGGTACCAAACTTTTAATTTGGAAGTTATGGTGAGCATCAGTAACTCCTGAGTGAGCTGTATGCGCTATATTCAGTTGWTAACCATCCGTACACTTTGTGGRCGKTGATGCTTGGACCATTTACAAAKWTAGAAACACAATATATAATATGCATTTTATTATCAGGTACTTCACGAGGCAACCCCATTCACCTGGTTCCAAAGAATCCTATGACTTGGCTCTCTACATTAAAGAAAAATGGTTGAAATATGGGTTTGATAAAGTCGAACTGAAGAAGTACAACGTCCTCCTCTCTGTACCAGAAAAGGCTGGTGTAATTACRGTGAAGTATGCGAATGGCAGTCAGTTCTATCAGACGCAGCCGGTTGATGCTTCCATGGACCCTGCGTATAACGATTCTAGAGTGTTCCCTCCTTTCGGTGCGTTCTCTCCAGCTGGTTCTGTTACGGTAAGATGTCTTCTTGTTCATCGTTGATGTAGGTCATACGTTTGCGTAAGTAGTGTGCGACTTTTTCAGTGTAATCTTGCCTTAGTGACCAGTTAGTGTAAATGATATATTCCAGTCAGCAATGATTTATTTCTGTTGTTTCGATCCACCTTTTCCTCCATCAGGGAAAGTTGGTGTTTGCAAACTATGGAAGAGCTAGTGATTACAGTACTCTTAAAGCAAACAACATCAGCGTTGCAGGAAAAATTGTCATAACAAGATTTGGAAAGTCATCCAGGGTCGTCCAGGTAATTAAATCGATGGAAAAGCCGTCTTAGTAACTAGCTATAGATTGTGGATTGACAGCAAGAAGATGAAACAATGCGCTCCTGTCTTTAGAGCTTGGTTTTRCCAATTCTGCTTTAGGGCAGTGGTTAGATTGCAAACGTTATTCACACTTCTTTCGAACATCTTCTAGTACTGATCTGATATTGTTACATGTACCATGCTTACTGTTGAGGACAACTAACTAGCGATATTGTAAGCTCAATGATGATATATAACACTGTTCATAATCACCCCAATCTAGCATGGGCGTGCACACAGAAATGGAGCTATTGGTCTCATCATGTACATGGATCCTGAAGAATATGCCAAACAAGGCGTTGACAAAGTTTATCCAGAATATAATTGGATGCCTAAAAATGGGGTTCAGAGAGGAACTCTTAAATATTCCCCGGTTAGAGGGGACCCCCTAACTCCTGGCTATCCAMCTGTTGGTAAGCATTTAAGAATTGTTTGGTTCGCGGWTTGGTTGGTTAGTATAGTTGTTGGTTTGTTTGATCGTGATTAGTTCCAATGTTGGATGGTCTGTTTGTTTGTCAATTCGGRTATTTGAGGGTATTGTGTGAATACTTGGTTTGTTGAAAGTACGAAATGGATGAGTGTATGTGTTTCACTCTGTCATAAAAGACTTTTACTAAAGACTCAGAGTTACTCTTTCTTGTAGAAAGTCTACTCAAATGTCACATTTTTGTTTCATAGATGGTATTTATCGTCTACCTCTTGAAGAAGCCAAGAAAGATCTACCACAAATTCCCGTCCAGCCAATTTCGTACGGCGATGCCGAGCCTTTATTGAGGTACTGTTTATTATGGGAGTCAGTCGGTTATCAGTCAGTCAGTCACTAAGTCAGTAAATACCTTATTCATACTGCAGGATGCTCAAGGGTGACGTTGGAAAGGGATCGGWTTGGCAAGGTGCTTTACCATTCACCTATGGAGTGGAAATGGAGAAAAATGACAKCAGGTAGTTTATTCTTAGCGTCTCCYTGATCTTATACATGCAACAAAACTGCGTACAAAGTTTGTCAAACAAARATCGGCGCTGCTTGTTGATGAGTCAAGGCTAAATTGTAACAGAATAATATATGCAGCAGCAGGAATGGTTGTAAGAATGACCCCATTAGTTACATTGTTTCATTATATTATCCTAGTTATAAATGGTTTCTAATCAGTTCAATATCATTTTCAATTAACAGGAATGTAACTTTAACTGTGAATACGGCACTGAAGGCGTTTGACATCTACAATGTCATTGGTACTATAACCGGAACAGTTGAGCCAGGTACGCATATTATCATATGTTTATAATTGATTATTCTTGTTAATTTATGGCAATCATAGTTTTGCAGAATAACACTGACTTACTAACGTTTCGATCCTTCATTGAGTGAAAGAACGATAAATGGTTTTATTGAAAAAAGCCAATAGGCGTAACTGTGTATGTTCATGCAGTCAGTTACTTTTATCTTTCCAGATCACCTGGTCTTACTTGGTAACCATAGAGATGCTTGGYTATACGGTGCGGCTGATGCTTCTAGTGGTACTTCTGCCATGATGGAAACGTCCAGGGTGATCGGAAATATGCTGAAAAAGGGTTACTATTAATTAATCTACTTGTTTCTATCCTCGTGTATCAGTAACTACCAAACTATGGACTATATACAGCATATACAGCATTCTGATTGGTTACTGACCATCCATATGGTATATGGTATATGGTATATGGTATATGGTATATGGTATATGGTATATATGGTATATGGTATGTGGTATGTGGTATATGGTATGTGGTATATGGTATGTGGTATATGGTATGTGGTATATGGTATATGGTATATGGTATATGGTATATGGTATATGGTATATGGTATATGGTATATGGTATATGGTATTCCCAACAGTTCGGTGGATACTAAATCAATTACACCACTCCGTTTTGTGGACTAATCTCAATTGCAAGAGTCCACAAAGAAGTATTAATTCAGGTTAACTAATATTTCGCGTTGTATCTCTTTCTGTAGGTTGGAAACCAAGAAGATCGTTGGTATTTTGTAGTTGGGGCGCAGAAGAACCCCAGCTGATGGGATCTGCGGAATGGATGGAGGTTAGCGTGTGATATTTTCATTTTCGTTATTTTTTATGGAATTCCATAATTCTGTCTTATAGGACTATGCAAGGCTTCTCCATCGTCGAGCAGTCGCTTACCTTAATGTAGACATGTCTGTCGATGGTAAGTTAAATTGTTTCACGCAAACGTTTTACCACTGTTATCTCAATCTCGTGTAATTTTAACATTTTTAGGAGCGTATTCATTCAGAGCTAAGTCTATGCCTTCCATGGACTGGATTTTGTTTGAAGCTACTAAAAAGGTATGGATTTAGATGCTTTAGAACAAGCTTATTGGGTTCTTATTACAGATGTCGCGTTCACCATTCATTTTCATTGTGAAGCATTCAGCATTCTGTTATCCTTCACGAGTTTGTAAGGTTTCTAGTGATTGGAGGAATAAAACAATGCTCATTGTTTCCTAATTCTTAAATCTTATTGTTTTCTTTTATAATTTAACAAATAGCTAGTAAACTAATCGGATAAGATCTTGCAAGACCTTGAAGGACTAATCCTCAGCACTGGCTCAGTGGTCTAGTGGTATGATTCTCGCTTCGGGTGCGAGAGGTCACGGGTTCGATTCCCGTCTGAGCCCGACAGTTTAAAATTATATTTTACAGATTCAGAGTCCTTATAATAATGAAACAGTTTACGAAGAATGGAAAAGAAAGATTCCCGATACAACCTCAAGATATGATGTAAAGGGAGTAGTTCCGAGGTAATTTAATGTGCAATTTTGCTACTTCGTCGCTGTATACTTTGATGTACTTTCTTTGTTTTAGTACTCAGACAATCAAAGCTGGTAGCGATTATGCTGTGTTCTATCAGAGACTGGGAATTCCTTGTGTGGACATACGATATACATATGATAGGGTAGGTTTATAGTTTCACCTGATTCAATCATGCATTTATATATATAATTCGACTATTCTTTTGTGATCATTCAATTATTTCAACTTTTAGCTAGATTCATTTGACAATCGATTGATTAATTGATTGAATTAGTGTGGCTYAAAAAGTTAATAGGTCCAAATAGCCACTATCTCTTAGCATCTCCGTCCCACTGCAAACAGAACGTGACGTCATTATGCGACAGGGCAGTTGATCGCAGTTGATTGCATACTATTGATTTCAAAATGATCGATTAATTAATATTMTGATATTCTCAAACCCAACAGAAGACRAGTGGCAATCCYTTATACCATTCAATCTATGATAACTTCCACATGATGTCAAAACTGATTGACCCTACATTCAAGTTCCACCAAGTAACTACACGAGCATGGACGCAGATCGCTTTGGACATGGCCGATTCGTTCATCATTCCTCTCAATGRCACGCACTATGCATATATGTTGAAGTATTACCGTCGTATTTTTTGGAACAAATTTAAAAAGGATTTCGAGGCAAATGGGATATCCTTTGGTATGATTTTAACAATTAACGCATATTCACATGCGGGATTTATACCTATATTTTGTTTTTTTAGAGCACGTTGATTACGCTATTGGGAATTTTAGCAGGGTTGCTGAGGAGTTCCAAAGCAATATTGACAAGGCCGATCTGAGAAAGTAAGAATAAATKTCTGTTGTTTTATTTCCAGCATCTTTGTGGTTGCGAGGAAGTCTGTTATAGAATTTGGTATTTAGTAAATGTGGTTATATATCTGAATATATACATTCTATATTCCGGCTCGTTGCAAGTTGTTGTATGTTGCTCACCATTCCACAACTCAAACTGCGCAATAACTGTTTATTTGGTTATAGGCAGAGTTACCTGTACAGGATCAATTCTCGATTGGTTAACCTTGAGAGAGCATTCATTGATGACAGCATCATCAGCCCTCCAAGACCATTTCAAAGGTAAAAGATTGGATTTGATGATTCTTGCTTCCCACGTGATAATCACGTGCTGGTGACGCCCATTTTGAATCAGTATTACTGATATTTCTGCTATGATGTACATCCAGTTTAATCATCGGCATTTTTTACTAATTCACAGGCATGTGATCCTCACACCCAGTGTGCGGTTATATTATTATKTTATGGGAGGAGTGGTTGAGGCGATTTACGACGCCAGGAAAGGGGGATCATGGGAAGGTGTTAAGAAGCAAGTTTCTGCCATTCAGTATGGCATCCAATCGGCCAGTCATCTGTTGGACATGTCTCCCATATAGTACGAATTAGATAACCCCAGTCGAGTCATAAACGGATAACTATGCAATTCGCGTACATGTATTTTATAGTCTACAATTGTAGCTTGTTTTATTAAACTAAACATGCGCTCCACACATTTTATCGTCTAGCTTGTGACACACAATTTGTTATTGATTTTACTTTCACGAAACTTGTAACGGGTCTTATAGACTAGTGCTATTTAACATCGAAACAGCTGATAATTATTAGTTTGCAAATATGCAAATAGGATTAGATAAAAATGTATAACAAATGACGGGTTTTATGTAGTTATTGACATATATTTGTAGATAATAAAGCGTTTTTAAACAGCAACGATTATCAGAGTATCAATATTATCAGAAGTTTGTACTCTTTTGTAGTGGGCTTACTGTGTTATCAAGTAGAGGTGGAGACTGGGCGATGAAACGCGCATTTGCATTTCCTTCGCCGCCATTTTTGAATGATTTGCAGTTTTCCACTAAAAAACAGAATTCTTTTTCAATATAAACCATGGATTCTGCTTTCAAGATCTCGCTTTTGCTATTAGCTTTGTTGATAGCACATTCGCTATCAACAAACGAAGAAGACAGACCTTTTTGTGCGAACAAGTTGAACATGATATGGCAAAAGCTCCAAAACAAGATGTCTGCCAACAAACTACAAGACTTGAAGCGAGCATTAAGTGATCAAGACCGAAAAGAGATGAACTGGAAAGAACTGAAACTTCATGGAGGGGACGCAGATGGAGAAATTGAAGCAGGTTTAAGACGTACTTTGTTTAAAATACTTGAAGWWTACGGACATGGGAAGTTGGTTGGCAAAGTTCCTGAACCTACTGACCCTCGAGTTGAGGACAACACAGTGAGGGGTGAAGACGATTTTAGTGATGCTAGACTAAAGCATTTATGGAAATTGGCTAAYAGACATGGTATGTTGATTAAAATCCASCCTCTGMGYCCCTGGCCACGGTTGTTGCCGATGATAATATGAATAGTAACTTTTTATAAACATTACATTTAGAAAACACAGGTAGCCCAAACTCTATAAACCAGAATTGTTGGTAACTAATAATTCTTGTGTAGGTAATGTATTATCGAACCAAAAAAGGTTCCAGATGGGAATACATGTTCTCATTTTTCTCTGGAACCATTTTCTGCATGTACATGTTCATATAGTGGGAACTAGCGGTAAACTAGTGGCAGCTGTGACGGTGTTTCTAAAGAAACCGTTGTGTAAAAAGATAAATTAAACACTGTAAAAAAGGAGGTGAAGTAACTTACTGACGTTTCGGACGTTAATCCTTSGTCYGAGTAAAAGTATGATAATATGTACATTTTCTATAATTTTAATTGTATGTGTTTTCATTATACAGGCAAATTTGATGAAGAAGAAATGGCTGAACTAAGAACAGAGTTTGAACACCACAAAGAAAGGATAAATGAATACAATCTGTTATTYAATACTCTACAAGAACAACATGAAATTTCTGATAACTCAATAAAAAGTCARGACAGATTAAAGGAACATGAAGTTGACCAACTAAAAAATYAACTCAAAGATAAATATGTAGCAATGAAAAAACACTACYTAAAGCTTAAGGAAAGAGTTACTGGAGAAGTTGTTCAYTCWCCTTTCAGAGACTACAGAGTAATTGAGCTTTGGGAAAAAGCCAAAGCAAATAATTTCACAGAGGACGAGTTAGAATCTATCAAGGTTAGCATATATTAGAGCCACATGTAGAGAGTACCTAATAGAGTACAAAGATTAAAAGTGTGCAACACTTTCCACTATTTACTACAKAGTAGTGTTAATTAAACAATAGAAAACAATAGAATTAACATAATTTAGCAGTATTTATGTTGCACAGTTTTAGTGTTTGTACTCTATAACACTAACAATAATTGATAATTAGTATTTTTATAATTCAAAGTTCAATAAATTACTTTTTACACTAACAATACATGTATAAAATATGTGACTAAAATGTTATGATACTTTGTGAAATTTTATACTTCAAACCAAAGCAACAAGGAATCTGCAAGCTTCTGTTGTCTGTGGTACCTCTGTTAATCAGTCACCTCAGGACCTTCTGAATTGAATATTATAAAGCAGGTTGGCMGCCATACAGCATAAATAGAGAATTTTAATATTTTCTTTTATTTTGGCTTCCTAGAGGGTATAGAGGCACCACTGTTGTATTTACTTGTATTGGACAAAGTGTATTTTACATAATTGCAATTATTAACATATTTTTTGGGGGAATGGTGATATTTACTAGAGTTCTTCAGTTCAATTTTATATTATCTGCTTTCATACCATTTCCAGGAAGAGTTGAGGCACTTTGAAAACAAAATAGGCAAGCATGAGCATTTCAAGAATGRMGCKAAGAAATCKGAAAAGAAACTSAGTGAAGGCATCGATATTGATCACGAAGCTTATAAATCATATGCCAAGAAAGCAAAAGAACACTTCAAATATGTGAGTATTTTCTTATTACTTGTATTCATTTTGAATCCTTGACATATGACCTATTTACATTCTTGACTTTTTTCTGTGAAAGAATTGCTGGGTGATAATACTGTAAAGGCAGGTCAAGAATTCACCAGTCAAATCTTTGTCTAAACAYATGTTTTTGAAGCTAATAAATGCTTMGATGGGTTAAACTTGATCTTTATAACTGTATCCTCCTGTCCATTTGTTTCYACCTTTTATATGGTTTTTTGATGGTTACTATTGTATTAACATTGTAGGTGAAGAAAATGCATCACACWCTTCTGGAAAAAGTCTCAAGAAGACAAGAATTATGAGCTCTTTTTGTCACTTTTGCACAATGAAAGATAAATGTCTSTATCTTATACTTGGTATGCTCCTATTGCAAGTGCAATACAGGCAAGTAGACAACAGAGATAAGAATTAAAGCTCTAGATAGCTCTAGATAATGTCTTGCATTAGATTCCTGCGTAGTCAAGGCATGCAACAAAGGGCAAAATGCAATATTAATTGCCAATGCATAGGAGGCTAGTAATCAGATTTGTAACCTTTCGCACACTTTTTATTAAAATGTGTTTTTTTATGCAATAAACATAAAAGATACATGTAATTATTCATACCAATCTTCGCTTTATTAAAATAATAGAATAAAACATTAATTGCAGTTTTGTAAGTACAATTTTCTATGTATTGAATAAAACCCATTATAAATAGATGTGATTCAGAAATAAATATTATTATTATTTGCATGCAAATGTTCCCAGTGTTAATAAAATGTATTACTTACACAAGATATTAACCTTTTATATCTTCTAAATTTACATGTTGGGTGTCCTTTATGAAAGAATTGCCTTCCCATTGACTTGATAAAAATTATCAAAATTAACATTTATAGTCTATTAAAAAAAATAAGTGGTCAGTCCTTAACCTAAATTAAAATTAAATTTTGCTTTGCGATTATAAATATACCTTCCCTAKAAAAGGAAATGTTGCCTTAAAAATATACCAAGCTTGCAAAATACAATATTTTTAATAACTAATACACTAAACCCGATTGGTTGCTGGCTACATTGCTATTGTCTTCATGGAACCACAAAACATCTCTTTACTATACTATAGTCATTTTATAAAATGAATTTAGTTGAATCCCATAAACAGTATTACATTTGAACATCTGTACATGCAAAGTGCTACACTTAAACTGAGTATAAACACTAAAAGTTTAACACATAATTACAGGTAGTACAAAAAGTACTAAATATTACATGCTAATTATACAATTATTACATGTTAATTTATTACATTGCACTATATAGTTCTGCAAGAAGTTTAGTGTTTGCACTGTACATTTATCCCAGTATTGCCTCAAAGCTGTTATGTGGCTCGGGAGAATCTACGTAGCACTCAGTTGATGTAATATATTCATAAAGATATAATACAAAACACATAATACAATAGAATGAGAAACAATGGAATACGATGAATTTTATGAATACATTACATCAACTGCGTGTTACGTAGGTCAGCCCTATGTGGCTCATTCTATCAGGGGGTGGGGTTGGGGTGGGGGGGGGGGGGGGGGGGGGGGGGGGGGGGGAGAAGAGACATGTAAGCAAGCACATAACAGCTGTAAGGGCGTAGACTATATAGTCATTAAATGCGCCCCCCAGTCTGCCTACTGTGCTTTTTTGATTTTTAATACAAATATTCCACTAAGTGCAAAGTAGGTTGAGGTAAGGAGAAATAGAATGATATAACCCAGACCTATATCACATCTCCATCTCTCAAATACATCAAGAATGATGCCACCAATAGGTGTAGCTATAGCTTGTGGAAGAACAAGAGCCTACCAACAATCAAAGGTCTATTATTAGAAGATTGCAAAATAATACAGTAGTTTTTTTTTAAATTAGAGGGCAAAAAGATGGCCTACAGTGGCATAGCTTTTAAGTGGTCGCCTTTGGGACTTTCCAAACTGGCCAATGAATAAAACTTGAATATAGGGTGAAAAGCAGACATTGGATTGATAGATACCATTGTATATGTATCTGTAGTTAGTAACAGATTCTAATTATTAATTCCAGGGGTCAGCTAGGTATCAAGATACTCTAGACAGGTAAGCCAATAGAAAATGAGAAAGTTTGCATTGTTTTATTACATCATTAAGTATGGKTTGCTGTTTGATTAATATTATCAGTGAAATAAAGAAAACTGGYATGTTGGGAGAACATGAACACAGGCCTAAAAATTCATGAGCGCAGCTATCGGTTTTTGCGTTTTTTGATGTAGACATTCTATAAATGAATAACTAGATATATGTCATACCTGATGCCAAATAGCCAGGTCTTTAGCTTTGTCTTTTTCCTCTGGTAGTACATCCATTACCAAAGCAAAATCCACTGCACAGTATGCCCCAAAACCAATACCTAAACACAATGATAGAATATATTACAATGAAGACAACACTGTTTATACTACACATGACGATATTGTTATGCTAAGGAATTAATTGAAAAAAACTGCATAACATGTAGTAAATCAAATGCTAATGCAAAGGAACCACATTAATCCACCCAAAAAAGGGATAATGAAAAGTGGCCATGTTAATGGGGTGGCCATATTTACTGGATAGAAATAATATTATAAGTTAAGGACTTAGTGAAATTGATGCAGTAAGATTTGATAATGTGCAATGTATTTACCAAAGGTTAAAGCCACTGGAATTGCTGCATAAAATGCATAACGTCCTTGTAGAAAMGCTAGTATTACTGCACAAATACTCATCAATGCAGCTGAAATTGTACAACAAAACATTCATAATCATTACRTATAAAGTACTTTCAATGCTTACAAATGATGCAGTGTACAAAACATAAATGCAATGTATCAGTCAGAAATATCTACATTGTTAAATCATGTATGTAGTGAACTTTGGAAGCATTTGTTAAGTAAAGTTCAACTAACTAGTATACATAGTTTGCAAAAATGGATTTGCAATATATAGTGACATCCATTTGAAAAGTGTACTATTAAAACCTKCAACACTAGTGGCCCTTAAGTTATGGAAAAGCTTAAAATGAATGATTAAAACACATACATGAACCAATGACCAAAGGTTTTCGTCTTCCTAGCTTGTCAGAGAGAAATCCACCAARTACAGAACTGCAAACAAATTCAAATAATTTCCAGTTCGACAAACTCAGAAAAAAATTCATATTAGAGTGCAAAAACTATGATTCTTCTACCAATAATATGTTTACTGTACCCATGATTTTTTTTTGCAATTTAAAATTTTTGTGGTGTCACTACCAGGTGTGTCCAGSCAATGATTGTTGGTAGATACTTACAAAAGTGCTGCTGCAAACAGCAAAGGTAGCAGCATCATAGCCACACTTCTTTCTGGTGACCAACAATTTGGCAGATACACCATATCACCCAACCAGAACTCTAAAAACCTATACACAATATTATTAGTAATATTATTATCATTRGTACCACTATATTATCAATATCCCAGGTCATAAATATTTTAATTTAAACCCGCACTTGTAAAAAATTTGAGTGTCAAGTGTACATGAGAAAATGCGTTGTGTCATATTCCACAATAGTTATGCTGCCATTAATTGACTTAGATGTGCTGGCCATCACCCCTTTATTCTGATACATGTAGCATAAATTCATATTAAGTAAAAAAGCTTTTTTTTTTTTTTTTAAGGTATTTCTTACCCAGTGACAGTAGCAACTCCCTGTTGCATTAGGAATCTTGTTAGGAACACCCATCTGAAGTCCGGCTCTATACACACAAGATTATGACATCTATATCTTTATCTTTCATCAATTAAGTACAGTAATATTCAAGCATTGATTCGAGAAATTTCTGCTGTCGATAGTGACTGTTACTGAATGACCAAAAAATATTATAATGTTATTAATAATTTCTTATTTCCAAACTCACCTTTAAGGGGTTCCCAGTAAGCTAAAAATAATGCTTTTAAACCTGGAATAGATAATATTTTTAGCATGTTGTTAGAATTAAATAAACTAACTTAAGATACAGCAATGATATATAGTGCTTACTTAGAGGTTGYTGTACAGCTTTTCCTGCTGGAGTTTCTGGACAGGACGATACTGTCAGAACGACACATAGAAAGTACAGAATAGCTACAAGTGAATASGTTCCAACCACACCAAGTTTCTGAAAAATGATAATTCAATCAGTTACTGTTGATAGTAGTGATAAAGTGATAAATAATGCTCCTCAAAAAAGAAAACTTACTGATATTAGTCTTTCTAATGTACAACAGTTTAAGAAAGAGATTTGTCCTATTAAAGCAATCAGTTCTTATAATTTTGAATTTTATTGAAAGATTTTTKCTCCTGTTTTTCAAATGATATGCCACCACAAGATTTCACTGATAAAAAGTTCAGCTTGTGCATTGTATCTTCCTGAGACTCCTTCCTGCTCAATTTTTATTTGTTAGTTTTTTTTTCGAAGTGAAGCAAGTAGATATTCTACTAGTGCCTATAATTTTTAATTGTTTATTTTCACTGATGATTGAGAGTTTTATCTTATTTTCAAGCTTTTTGCTCTTAAGGTTTTAAATGGCATTTCACTATTAATAACACAATTATTCAAATAAAATGTTTTAATTGTTTAAGTGACATTATTTAAATTTTAAATAATAACTTACTGGAAAGAACAGTCCAATGGCTGCCCCTGTGACATTTCCAACCAATGTCATGGCACCCATAACTCCTGAACTAAACCCTGTTTATTATAAATATTATATTGMATTTTATATTTTATAAACCATGGTTATTGGATTTCACTATTTAGTAATTTCATTATTTATATCATAATATATTTATTTTTACATATTTATCTGAAATGAGAATCCACAATGGGGTGATTTACTMAGTGAACAAGTGAATGGATGAATGGATAATTGGATGGGTAAATGAATGGAAAAGAGTGTTTTACTTTTAGTCAAATTTTATACCTCTCTGTGAGGGTGGCGTGGTATCAGCTATCAGTCCATTATATGGCACACTCATAAGAGCATAGCAGGCCATTACACACAGATAAAACGCAACATATAAACCTATAAAACAGAACCATACACATTAGAATTATTGCTGAATTGTTATTGAGTCTTATTGTGTC